GCTCCGCTCAGCTGGCGGGGACGGGGCTGCACGGGCCCGGTCTGCGGCGGTGGAGCCGGCGCGCTGCTTCGTTCGGCTGGTGGGAGCGGGGCTGGGCGCGGCCTGCGGTGGCGGCTGGGGCTGACACACCGCCGTCAGGCTCGGGCCCAGCTGGGTTCGCACGCCTGATGTAGTCTTCCATGTCACAGTCACAGGTCTTGGCCAGTCAATCAATGGTGCTCGTGCGCTGTATCGCAGAGCACCTCGTCGCGGCATGTTTGGAGGTCAGACGCAACAACTCCGGCGAGAACGTAAGCGCGAAGCGGCTCGCCCTGTGGCGTTTGGCGGGGCCTGTGAGCTATGCAAGCTGTTACCATGTGTTTTAAAGGATGCCGTGCGCCTTGTGAAATGCTGTGCGTACCCCCGCTGTGAGATGTCTCTCGTCAAATACATTGCACCGTTGTGAGACACGCCTATTTGAGAACGAAAGGCGTCTTCTGTAGACTTAGCATGTGTGTGCCCGCCGGGCTGGCCGACACTCAACGGCTCACAGCGTTCTTGTATCACATAGGTGACCACGGTCTCTTCAATGATCCCAATATTGTATTTCCATATCCGCTGATACCTCTGCCTCGCCTCCTTTAAGCCGACCGCTTACCAACGACGAGAGGGAAACGGGAGAGCATAAGGGAAAGTGCGGCGTGCATGCAATAAGTGCAGTTCCTTTTATTTTCCCGTCAAAACTGGTCTGTTGTCTGTATATACGACACAAATTTTCGTCAACACCCCCCCTCCCCCCCGCTGCGTACATTCTGTCTGCGCGTACCTATTGGCCCATATGGAAGAAACATTCCACCAAATGCACACTACATGCAGTGACTTGTTCTCATGACGTCATAAATATCAGCGTCACGTGTGTGGGCCACCCTGCCAGTCTCTGTGGCGGCCGACGCAGCTGGTGACCAGTCCGGACAGCAGCGTGTTGTCGGCGCCCTGCCCCCCCCCCCCCCGTCGCCCGAGAACGCAGAGTCGGCCTCAGATGCAAGGCACAGTCCCGCGGCATGGGCCAGCCGTCTGATGAGGGGACCACAGGCTGGCCCATGGCCTCCCTGTGTGTCAGCTGCTGCCGTACTAAGGAGAACCAAAGCTTTGTGTGTCGCCTGGCTGTCCGGAGGGTTCAGTCGCGACCTGTCGCCAATGTCGCGCTGACATCTGTTACTGTCAGCTGCAGGCATTAGTGTCTGCTCGCGCGGCGTGCTGGCACCGAAAACGGCGCTCGCGCGTGGCCAGGTAGCTGTCCCCGGGGACAAGATTACCAGTGACGTCACAGCCCGCGGATCATGTTCCTTCGCGTCGGTGGTGTGACATTCTAATCTACCTTAAACTACTCCGGTTACCGGGTGTGCTAGTGTATTCACGCACAACAATGAGTAACAACCTGACATGACAATGCAACCATAGCTGACAGACACGGAGTGTGGCTTGCGTAGCAGCGTGATGTCCGTAACAGCGTAACGTTCGTGACTCGTCGGCTCCGCGTAACTGTAACAAGTAACAAACTGCTGGACAGTCAATAGCTTTGGCGTGGTGCATAATGACAGACACGAGAACCGACGTGGAAACACCGACGCGTCACCGTTGCTGGTTCAGGTGGATGAGGTACGCCTTGCGTTGATGAAACAATAACCTACCGACGAAATACCACGTGCACGCTGTAGGACAAAAAAAAAAACGACCGAGTACATCCAGACGGCTATCATTTGTCCCACGAAGCAATGGCAAGTACAGTCTACGTTCGTCTATCGCTTCGCTTCTTACGTGAAGTATTCTGCCGAAAGGTTTCAGGCGCGTCTCCTTCGCAGAACAAGCGACCTGAAATGGTCATGTCACGCTCCTGATCCTGCCTGACACGATCCAGCGCGAGGTCGCGTCTGGCCCGTCCACCTCACCGACGCGGTCGCGAGCACGAGCCTGACCCGGGCCTGTCCCTCCCCGGCCCCCACTTCACAGAGGCACACTTGGCACAGCTTCGGCGTTGATGACACTAGGGCCATCCGGGTCAACGAGGCTGCTCGTCTCCTCCGGTCCCCTTCTATTGTTCATTTCATCTTGCGCGCATTTCTCGTCTTACATGCATCCCGCTTCCCACCGCTAGCCCCCTTTTCTCCCTGACCCTGCTTCCACTTCAGCTTCTGCACATTTCTACGCTCTCACATCTTCCCCACCCAAGCTTCCGTTCTCCCCTTCCCAATCAATCGCCCAGTTTCTACGCTCTCCCGCTCGAGCTCCGTGCTCCGGCTAGCGGGGCAGCGCCGGCGGCATCTGGTCGGCGCGGCCATCCCGACGCGGCGCGCTGCCCGGCGAGTACGGCCGAGACGAGTAGCGGCGCAGCGGCGGGTACGGGGGCCCGAACGGCGGCGGTCCGCGGTTCCGGTTCCGGTGGGTTGTCACCAGAGCCTCGGCAGGCACGATCGGACGACGGGAGGGCACCGTGGGCGGGTGTTTCAAGCCCGGCGCTCGGCGAGACGAGGGCGGCGACGTGGGAGCGGCTGTCACCACTCGCGCGCCAGACAAGCTCGCCTTGAGCGCCTCGATCCTGTCGACATCTGTTATGGTCTCCGGCAGAGTAGAGTTCGCTTCCCCGCCGCTAGACATCACTGGCACCGGGGTCACGCTAGCGCCATCTGTGCGCGGCGGCGCGAAGGTGGAGCTCGGTGGCACGTCGTTGGGTGTCGGGCTCGTCGCTGGCGGCCGTGTGATATTAAACAGCACGTACGGCGTTGGGAGGCACATGCAGTCGCAGTGCGAGGGGAACAGAAACTTATCCATGTAGATGAGATCGCAGTCGTTGGCGTCGCGCTCGTAGACGGGCATGGTGCGGACGGTGTAGCGCTGGGTGCATCGGCAGCCGGCCGCGCACCGGCCCTGCTCGAACTTCTCCCTGCGGGCGGGGAATGACCCGTCAAAAAAACCTGACATCGTACTCCCATGAGTGGAAGATCAGAAACGCACAAGCTTACAGACGCAGGCATGAAAGAACATGGGCTAGGGTATCTTTCTCCCACGTTATATGGTTTGCCACGCAGCCAAAGATGCACACAACTGATGACGACAAATAAAAAATCGATTAAAATACTATGACTATCTCACTTGCCAATGAATCTCTACTGTCCCTGAACAACTCATAATGACATCTCGGAAAGGAAACGACCTGTACTGATGTCGGTCGCACTTCCTTCAAACAGCTCTGTTCAGCAAACAGACTAACGATGTCGCAGCATCAGTCTACTCACACGCAGTGCTCCATGTGGATGTAGGTCTCGAAGGGCGGCATGTTGATGAGCATCTTCCAGATGTGCTGCGTGTTCATGGCGTAGAAACGGCGAGCGGATCTCGACGGAGGCGCGGCAGGCCGACCCTTCGAGACAGCAGACACAGGTCAGAGGTCGATCAGAGGTCATCAACAACATGGGGCATGGGACCATTTCAGTGCTATTTACGTACCAGGCAACGCAACAGCACAAAATACGCCACGTGTGGCGCGCAGAGGGGTACTGTGCGCGAAACGAGAGAGATTGGTACGCCCGCGATGATTGTCGTAGCTAATTCAACACTTTATGACCCGGAATCGTCACATCTGTAATCAACTACTCATCAGACAGGGGTCATCAGAGTGTTTAGGGCACGTGATTTTGGTGCTCACGTCGTGTATGGATCAGGTGTCGTTTCCGCCGGCGGGCTGGCCGGGCGTAGTCGTGGTCGTCGTCCGCGCCGTCGTGGTCGCGGCGGCCGGTCGCGTAACCACCGCCTCCTGCTCCGGCCGGTAGATGACGTCCGTGTACACGGTCTCCATCACGCCCTCCAGGAGCAGGTCGACCGTGGTCTCACCGGCGACCGGCGTCTCGGTGGCGACGCCGGCCTGACTGTGCGCCCCCGGCGCCGGCCCGGCCGTGGTCCGGGCCGGTTCCATGGGTGTCGCCAGGGCCGGCGGGTCGCGCCACCAGCGGGTCGGCGTGCGGTGGCGACGGCAGGGGAAGCCAGTCAGAGGCAGCCGGCGCCGTCCACTGCGCCGCCGCCGGCTCTGCCGGCTCCGCGGCGGGCGGGGCCACAGTGGAGCGAGCTGGCGGCAGGTAGTACTGCACCTCCGGCGGCCGGTCCCTCGCGCGTCCAGTCCTCCTGCTCCTCCTGCCGCCAGTCCTCCGCCGACGGCTCCTCGCGCGTCCAGTCCTCCTGCTCCTCCTGCCGCCAGTCCTCCGCCGACGGCTCCTCGCGTGGCCAGTCCTCCAGCTCGGCGGCGAGTGCGTCGGCGAGGATCTCCTCGCCGGCGGTGATCTCGGCCAGCACGTCCTCGCCGGTGCGCACCTCTGCCCGGATCTGGGAAGGCCCCGGAGGCGAGCGCCGCTCGGCTTCAGAGAAGACCGAGGTGGACGCCGTGGCCGTGACCGGCGCTGGGGCGTCGGCCGCGGGCTGGGCGGCGACAGGAGGGGAGGGGGAGGGCGTGGGCGCCGCTGCGGGCGGCGGCAGGGTCGTGGTAGGCTCAGGGGCGCTGTCGGTCCGGTGGTGTGAGCCGCGGCGGGGCTGTCCGTCGAGTTCTCTGGCATCGCGTCGAGTGTTTCCAGGCGTGGCTGTTCTGTGACGGCGACTGACTCCTGAGCAGGCGCACTGACCTTCGGTGCGCCGCCGTCATGGAACAGGGGCCGCTTCGCCAACTGGTTGGTGCTCTTGTGGTGCAGCTTCACCAGATGCTCCTTGAGCTGAAGCGGCGCTTGTCTCGACTGAGGCAGGCCCGTCATCAGGTGGTGCTTCCGTGGCTGGTTGCCTCCAGCCCAGGGCATTGTCAAGGGCTTCTCCCAGCTTGATTATGTCTTCCAGAACGCCTTTGGTCACCACTATTCCGGAGGGCTCCGTGAAGTAGGAAAACAAAATCGCAAGCTCTTCTTCTTCGGTGAAGCCGCCCTTGTAATCCACGTTCTCTAAGAACGTCTCGCTCTCGTCATCTCTGTCACCCTCTTGTGCCGCCCCGGGCGAGCCAAAGTTTGCCGTGTCACCGACAGCTGGCGCGGCTGTCTCGAGCCTCTCTGTTGCATCAGGCCTATCGTCCGAAAATTCCCAATTCCTTGATCGAGAGGCCAGTCTGGCAACTCGCGTTGGTGACCCTGTGACCGCTGACGTCATACACATCGCTAGTCGACCGTGTTCTGCGGCCCGGGGCCCGGCTCTTGCCCGGCCGGTACTTGGCCAACAGCCGCTTCATGCCGCTAGCATCGGGGAGGGCAGCCCGCTTGCTGGCCGCCCGCGCTGGATCTGCGCAGGTACTCCTGGATCTCCTGCCTGCAGAAGGTCTGGGTCAATGCCGCGGGTCAAGGGCAGCGAATAGAGCGACCTCTGGCTCGTCAACCCGACAGATGTTTTGCGCAGTTACTTGTCAGAAGTTCACCTAGATCTGAGGTTTGTTGATCTTGAGGCTGTCAGATGACGGCGGTGTTCTGAAATACTTGCGGTTAAGGTATAACATACAAAGATTTCCAACCGCAAAAGGTTAGACCCAAAGTCGGTAAGGCAATCCAAACCTTCGAACATCAATTGATAAATACTTCGTGGAGCGTTTAGGCGAAAGCATACCGGAACGCACAACTTCTTGTCACAAACATTCTTTATCAGAGCGAAGGACACTGCGCACCATCCATCCCTCCCTGCAGGGCCCCGTGTAGCTCGCTCCGACGGCGTCGCACCAGGACGCCTCTCACCAGGAGTGGTCGCGGCCCGGCTCGCCGCACCGGGACGCCTCTCACCAGGGGAGGGGGGGGGGGGGGGGTCGCGGCCCGGCTCGTCGCACCGGGACACCTCTCACCAGCGGTGGTCGCGGCCGGCTCGTCGCACCGGGACACCTCTCACCAGCGTGGTCGCGGCCCGGCTCGTCGCACCAGGACACCTCTCACCAGCGGTAGTCGCGGCCCGGCTCGTCGCACCAGGACGCCTCTCACCAGGGGTAGTCGCGGCTCAGCTCGTCGCACCGGGACACCTCTCACCAGGGGTAGTCGCGGCTCAGCTCGTCACACCAGGACGCCTCTCACCAGCGGTGGTCGCGGCTCAGCTCGTCGCACCAGGACACCTCTCACCAGGTGTAGTCGCGGCCCGGCTCGTCGCACCAGGTCGGGCTGGGCATGTTCGGCGAGCCCTGGCAGGACAGCGGCGGCTGCACGCGGCGCATCGACTTGCCGAAGCGGCTCGTGCCGGCTGAACAATTGAGCCCGGTGCCGACCGCCAGCCTCCCTGCCTGCCGAGCAGAGGGAAAAGAGGAAGTCAGACAGCCGGCTGACATGGGGCGCACGTGCACTTGGGACATTGCAACGGGGTGCGCGCATTGTGCAACATTGTTTGCAATTTTGCAATATTTTTCTAATTGCTTGTATGCGGCCTTCGAACAATGCGAAAAGAATGGAGATGGTCCTTGAACTCTTCGACGCTTTGCTTTTGCTGTAATTTGCTCTTGCAACATTCTGCAACTTTTACAACCATTCAGAAGCTCTTTCTTAACGCTCTGGTGCTTTGTGGGCACGCTGAATGTGGCTTTAGAGCGCTGCGCTGCGTTGTTCGGCCGACAAGACTCTTGCAGGGTTTTGCATTTTTGGCAACAATTTTGGCAGTTGTTTTTTACGTTTATATTTGCGAGGCCTGTGAGGACGTGGGGTCTTTTCTTCATGCCCCTTTTCTTTCAATGCTAGCAGAGTCCTCATATGTTCAAGTCACCTGGTCGTCTTGAAAACGCATTTGGTTATCTCCCGCGCCCCGTGCTCCCTCCCTCCAGAACGGTATACAGTTATAAGGCTGGCCAGTTCCTGGTGAGACGCATAGGTACTGCACTGCCCTGGGTCGAGGCTGAGGCTGAGATCAGGACCTAATGGTCTCGAGAGGAAGCCGTGGAGTGGTTCTTCTCCCGCTATACCCGCCTGACACGACTTTCTATAGGTTTCTACCGCCTTCCCGGGCGTCTCGCCTGCTCGCCTCAGTCTGTCTTCGGTTTCAATGTTAGTTGACTTTAGGCGCAGTTCTGACCCGTCCACCCCTCTTCTTACGCTGGGTTGCCATTCCTCCCCCTATCCTTACAGACTAAGCTCTTCCATTCTGTTACATATATTCCCTTCCATTGTCACGATCATTTACGATGCAGTTATCTTTCCACATCTGTTCATACCTACTCAACACTGGCCCCACAATTTTGCTTTTCTAGTCCCCTCCAGTGGCACACGGGGTTGGAGTGGTTACCACTGTCCAATGCGCAACATTTTTGGGAACCTTGAGCACACATCTGCAATGCTAATTCCTTTTGATCTCAACCCATCAGGTTCTGTCACGCGAGACTTTCGGGTACATTCAGGTGAGGGTAAACACGTATAACTAACCGTCCTTTCCGCCAATACAGGAGCCTCTCACCCTACGTGTCGCCCACTAAGGATGAAAGCCTTATGTAGCGTCCTTGCCTCTAAGGCGGGCCTGCCCTTCTCACATGCATTTCCTGGCTGAGGTTTTATGCCGTCTTCGCCGAGCACGACATGTTTCGTAAACGTCTTTACCAGAGACATATGACAGCTACACCGGGTCACACCTGCCACAAACTCCAGTGGACACCGTCCGTGTTTTATGAGAGCCATCAAGACTGTCTACGCCAGCTTAAGCTGGCAAAGAGCTGGACAACACACGGCTCACGGTCGGAAGAGCACGGCTGTCGCACGAGTACACGGTACACAGGAGCACGCAGATGGCAGGGGTACAGGACGACAGAAAACCACGTGGTTGGAGTTAAGAACACTGCCTCAAGTGTACACGGCGGTACACGAGGCGGATGTTTGACTTAAAAGTACACAGATGAGGTAGGAGTACCAGACTGAAGTAGGACCAACCGACTGACAGCGGAGTACACGGCTGGTAGAACAGCACGAGGTTGATGGAGGAGTACACTGATGACAGCGGAGTACACGGCTGATAGAACAGCACGGGATTGATAGAGGAGTACACTGATGGCAGCGGAGTGCACGGCTGATGAACAGCGCGAGGTTGATGGAGGAGTACACCGATGACAGCGGAGTACACGGCCGATAGAACAGCACGAGGTTGATGGAGAAGTACACTGATGATAGTGGAGTACACGGCTGATAGAGCAGCACGGGATTGATAGAGGAGTACACTGATCGCAGCGGAGTGCACGGCTGATGAACAGCACGAGGTTGATGGAGGAGTACACTGATGACAGCAGAGTACACGGCTGATAGAACAGCACGAGGCTGATAGAGAAGTACACTGATGGCAGCGGAGTATACGGATGATGAACAGCACAAGGTTGATAGAGTGCACTGATGGCAGCGGAGTATACTGACGCTGGAAGAACAAACGGTTGACATACGAGCACGCGCGTTGCCGAAGAATACTTGGAAAACATAGCTGATTTGGGGTACATTTATGACACAGAAGTGCACGGTTGACGGCTGGGTACATGGCTGACAGAAGGGTACTGGGTTGACAGCGGAGGACACAGCTTACGAAGGAGTACACGCATGGGAAAGCGTGCAGCGGCATATAGGATACATGTCTGACATAAATGTAAATAGTTCACGCAGGAGTACACCAGTGACTGAGAGGCACACGGCGGATAGAGGAGAGTACCACGATCATGGGCGTCACATGATACGCTCTCGGGGGACCCGAGGGGCCCCCAATCTGACTTAACCACCATGATCCTCAGAGCTCCCTCTTATTGTGGGCAAAAAGGAATGCTGGACGAATGAAATGCATACAATTTCCTTCAACTTCTGGAACACCAGATACCCACCTTAAGACATAACTATAGGTTTCGTCCTAATGTTACATCACAGAGCGTCCTGTCTGGAGTGTGCATTTTTTTGCTGTCATTCGGACTTCCTTATGTGCTAGGTCAGCCTGCAGTTATCGGCAGATTTTTCACACAATAACCCACGGTTTGACTAAAAAAATCGCTGCCAGATCTGGCAGCTTTTAAGCACACGGTGGCTGGTGGCATTCACCTGTTTGCGAGGGCTGCACGACAAACCGTGCGCAGCGAACCGTGCAGACATGACGGCAATAACCGGGAGTTTCACACATAATCATTTGCTTGTCTTACAGATCTCTCATTTTTCTCGAGTGTGATGTTTTGTCAACGGGGCAGCATGCAGGATTTTGCCAGTGGAGAGATGCTCAAATGAAAGCCAACTTTGGCGTGCCGGGAGCATGCTATTACATTGTGTTTTAATGTAAATGCCCAAAATCCTGGAAAAGTCGGGTTTTGGGGATAATCGAGGTCAAGCTTACCGGCTGAGCCCCCCAACCGATTTGAAAAGTGACACCCCTGACCACGGAAGAAGAGAACGCGGTCGACGGACGAGTGCATGGCTGACATGGCGGCAAAGGGCTCTCAGCCAGGTGAACACGGGACCGGCGTGCGAATAGGTGACTGATGGGAGTGATGGGACTGATGGGAGTGATTCAGGGTCCCTTCTGACACAGGACCCTTGTGTAGGACCTAGCTCCTAGGTGTCCCTAGCTGGTCAAGAAATGCACTGCTTTACAGAGGGTTGAAATAAGGAGCGTTAAGAAAATGCTAGAAATCCCAAACTACGTTACAAATTTTGTGCATGCTAATTTTAGCAAATTTTAGGAGAATAAACAATGGGCAAAAAAGTGCACAGTTAAAAGAGCAATACAGAGTTGACAACGGAGTGTATGGCTAGCAGAGGACTGTACGGCTGACCGAGGAGTACACGGTCGACAGAGCCATACAAAGTTGACGAGGGAGTCGCTCTGCCCCCATGGCTAACAGAGGACGGCACGGATGACCGAGAAGTACACGGTCGACAGAGTAATACAAAGTTGACGAGGGAGTCGCTCTGCCCCCATGGCTAACAGAGGACGGCACGGGTGACCGAGGAGTACACGGTCGACAGACATCCGACATCAGCTGGGACCACAGCTCCGCGTCACGCAGCCGGACCCCCATCCAGCGGCTGGCGCCGGCAGCCAGAGGGGGCAGAGCGAGCATGAACACGGGACGCGGTGGAACGTGCCCCCGAACGCCTGCCGGCAGAGAGCGAGTGGCGGCCGGCGAGAGCACGGGGGGGGGGAGGGGGCGTATTGAGCCGCGATGCCAACCGGTGGCCATCAACGGCCCCGCAAGGACGTGGCCCACATCTGCTGGCATCACGTGACCCGCCGTATTGGCACGTTGCCAGGTCGGGCCCGTGGATCAGGCCAATCTCCTCGTGGCACGGAATCGCCCAGATGCAGTCGTCACGTTCCCATAGTTCACTCGTGCATTTTCCGCAGCGTCACGCCAGCGGTCCAAACACAATATCGCACGGCTAGTTCGGCCGCGATTAGGGCGGACATTCGCTTTTTAGTGGACATTTTCGTAGCCGTAACCACGCCTTAAATGTTAACGGAGCATATTTCTGTTTGGGATCATTTGATCGAGTCAAAACATAAGGGCTCGAGCATTCGAATCTGCGGCCACACGTTACTGAGGCACGGACCCCGCTCCCGCCCCAGTGGTAACTAGCCCTATGCCTGCCACCCAGCGCACCCGCAACTAAGATGTTGGTCCCTCGTGTTCACGCTCGCTGTGCCATGAGCACGATAGGCTCCGTTTTGAGTGCTCTGCCTATCACGGCAAGGCCAGCAGGACGATGTATTGACACTTGGATAGCGAGTGCCGGCTCTCTGCAGAGGTATCATGGAAACGTTCGCCCGCATCAAATCTAATTTATATATTGGAAGGTTACACACGGAATACGTGAGTGCACCATGGAGTTGAATAACAGCGAAGCGGTGTCTGTTGTGGCATCCCATCCCTCTCCGGCGTAAGAGGTCTCCGATGCCTGCCAACAGCGTGATTTTCACCCGTCGGCGGAGTTGGTTTCGGCACTGCCCCACGTGCGGACGCGATGCGCCTGCTCCGGCGAAAGCTCGACCGAGCGTCCTTGACTCGTGAAACACCTGAGCTTTATCACAGGTGAGAGTGGCCGCCTCCGTGTGGGTCGAGTGTCCGGTTCGAGGGGCTATCGCCCACCATCGCCCTGTCGGCCGCCAACTCTGCCCTGCGAGCCTTGACCAGACCATGAAAAGCAGCCAAAGGCCGTCCTGGCGGCCGTTGAGGAACCGTTGGGAGTTCTGCAAGCGGAGGACCCGCGCCACATTCGGGTCAACCGCGCCCGTGTGGCGATCTTAATCGATGAGGCGGACCAACGCAACACGAGATGACCCGAAGAA